GCACTTCACTGTATTTGAGAACTGGGTGCCTGGGGTGGTACTTGATCCTCCTGGAAAAGTAGGCTGGAAAATGTAAGAGGGTACAGTCACTTCGGAAAGTCATCTGGCAGTTTCTTAGAAAGTCAAACATAAATTTACTATACAACCCAACAATCCCATTCCCAAGAGTAATTTTGTTACCCAAGAGTAACAAAAATGTGTGCGCAGGAATGTAATGTTTGTAGCAGCGTGATTCATAATAGCCCCAGGGTGGAAACAATCCAAGTGCCTATTAACTGGCAAATGTGATCATCAGAAAATGGTGTATCCATACAATGCGATACTACTGAGTAATAAAAGGCAATGAATGAATGACATATGCTACAACAATTGATGAACCTCAAAAACATGATGCTGAGATTTAGCAACTAAGTGAAAAAAGCCAGATGGAAATACATGTTGTATCGTTTCACTGATATAAATGGAAAGGATAAATTTATGAAGACAGAAAGTAGATCAGTGGTTGCCTGGCATTGGGGTAGGAACAGGGACTGACTACAAATGGATACAAAGGATGGTGATAGAAATGTCCTAAAGCTGGATTATGGTTATGGAGCAGCAACTCTGTAAATTTACTAAAAGATGGTGAATTGTATGTTTAGATGAATTTTATGGTATGTAAATTATACTTCAATAAAGCTATAAAAATTAAGAAGTTATCAAAATCAGACAGAAAGGAAGCAAGAACAGCAATCTTAGAAATGAAAAATGTAATTCTAAAACTTAATAGATGGGGCTTCCCTGGTGGCGCAGTGGTTAAGAATCTGCCTGCCAATGCAGGGGACAAATGTTCGATCCCTGGTCCGGGAAGATCCCACATGCCTCAGAGCAACTAAGCCCGTGCGCCACAACTACTGAGCCTGTGCTCTAGAGCCCACGAGCCACAACTACTGAGCCTGCATGCCACAACTACTGAAGCCCATTCTCCTAGAGCCCGTGCTCTGCAACAAGAGAAGCCACCACAATGAGAAGCTCGCACACCGCAACAGAGAGTAGCCCCAGTTCTCCAGAACTAGAGAAAGCCCGCGTGCAGCAACGAAGACCCAACACAGACAAAAATAAATAAATAAATAAATGTTAAAAATAAATAAAACTTAATAGATGGGAAAAACTCTGGATTGGACATATTATTTAGAGGATTGGGAAATAGGAAGACAGGATTAAGGAATTCACCAGGATACAATAGAGACAAAAAGATCTTTAATAACATTTTAGGATATGGATGGAGAGGCGACCTTAACTCACCTAATGGCAGTTGCAGAAAACTGAATGGAGGCAATGACAGAGAAACAATATCTGAACACAAAATCATTGATAATTTTCCAGAATTAAAGAGAGCACCTGAGTCTTCAATAGAAAGTACATTCACTACCAACTAGAGAGTTCTAATGAAACTGCTAAACGTCAAAATACACATACACAAATGCTACCAATAGAAAAGGCAGATTATCTACAAAGGAATGAAAATTTGATTGGCAGTAGGATTTTTACCAGCAGCAATTAGTATCTGAAGACAATAGAACACTATCAACACTGTGCTATGAGAAAATAGCTGTTCACTAGAAATTTTTTTAAATTTATTTATTTTATTTATTTATTTTGGGGTGTGCTGGGCCTTCGTTGCTGTGCGTGGGCTTTCTCTAGTTGCAGCAAGCGGGGGCTACTCTTCATTGGGGTGCATGTGCTTCTCATTGTGGTGGCTTCTCTTGCAGAGTACGGGCTCTAGGTGTGTGGGCTTCAGTAGTTGTGGCATGCGCAGTCTCTAGAGCACAGGCTCAGTAGTTGAGGTGCACGGGTTTAGTTGCTCTACAGCATGTGGGGGGATCTTCCCGGACCAGGGATTGACCCCATGTCCCCTGCATTGGCAGGCGGATTCTTAACCACTGCACCACCAGGGAAGTCCCATCACTAGAATTTTATACCCAAGTAAACAACCATCCAACAGTGAGGGCAAAATACAGACATTTTCAAATATACAAAGAATTTCTTACCCCACCAAGACCCCTACGGAAAGAACTATTAAATGATGAACTTCAGCTAGAAGAAAAGTGAACCGAAAGAGAAGGCTGTAGATTCAAGAAAAAAAATAGGGAGTAGAAGAATTGGTGAAATGTCAGTAAATTTAATGAACTCAAGTATAAAAACGATTGTAAATTTTAAAAGGTAAAAAACTTTAGACAACAATGACAAGATGGGAAAGGGGAGGGCTGTTAAATGGGTAAAGTATGCAAAGCTCTTTTGTAGGGAGAAAGAATTATGTGATAACTTTGTTAGAAAAATTATAGTTAAATACGTATGTGGAGGGGCTTCCCTGGTGACGCAGTGGTTGAGAGTCCGCCTGCTGATGCAGGGGACACGGATTCATGCCCCAGTCCGGGAAGATCCCACATGCTGCGGAGTGGCTGGGCCCGTGAGCCATGGCCACAGGGCCTGCGCGTCCAGAACCTGTGCTGCGCAACAGGAGAGGCCACAACAGTAAGAGGCCCGCGTACCGCAAAAAAAAAAAAAAAAAAAGTATGTGGAAAAATAAAAGACAAGGCTGAGAAGAATAGGAATAATGCCAGAAGCACTCAAACAAGCAGTGGAAAATGAGGGAATATAGATCATTTAACTAATCCAGGATGGTAAATGAAAAACACAAAATATGATGGAAGAATAAGTCCCAATATGTTAGTTATCACAGTAAACGCACATGGATTAAATTCACCTATCAGAGATACAACTAAAATAAAACTTACAGAAAGATTAAATATAAAGAGATGGAAAATATCACATACAAAAGGTAGCCAAAAGAAAGGTGGCATATCAATATCAATATTAAAAATGTCTAATTTAAACAATTAGCATGAAAAATGGTAAAGAGGGGCCCTACATAATAAGAATCAACTGTGATTTCTAATGCAGAATATACTTTGAGAAACACTGCCTACTATGCACTAGGGATCATGGCTGCTTTCTTCACTGCCGTATCCTTCAGTGCTTGGCACATAATAATTGTGCCAAAATATCAATATTAATGGGCAGAATGACTACCATTACCACATTATATTGAAATGATCTGTTTATGCATTTGTCTCATCACAAGGGCAGGGTTCCTATCTTACTCAGTTTTATGCCATCAATATTGAGCACAGCACCTGGCACATAGTAGGCACTCCATAAATTCAAACTGAGTTCAGGGTTCATCTCTTCCATAAAGTCTCTCCTAAATGTTATTACCCATAATGACTTATCCTTTGTTTCTACTTCTATAGCACTCACAACTTGAAACATCCAATTTAGCAACTGATTACAGAGCAGTGTCTTTTAGGTTTCTCTCCAACCTTGTTTCTCCAAAAATATTTTAGGTTCTTTGAAGATGAAGATGCCTTATACTGTGCCCAGCGCCTCAAATCAATACCTTTTTGGGTCGATGTCACTATTTGGATGACTCCAGATTAGATCAGTGGTGCCAAGCAGCACATGCCAAGGCCTCCAAGGAGTATCTCCATTCCCCCGTTTCCATCCTTGACTAAAGAGATCACTGTTTGGGCTTCCCTGGTGGCACAGTGGTTGAGAGTCCGCCTGCCGAGGCCGGGGACGCGGGTTCGTGCCCCGGTCCGGGAAGATCCCACATGCTGCAGAGCGGCTGGGCCGGTGAGGCATGGCCGCGGAGCCTGCGCGTCCGGGGCCTGTGCTCCACAACGGGAGAGGCCACAGCAGTGAGAGGCCCGCGTACCGCAAAAAAAAAAAAAAAGAGAGAGAGAGATCACTGTTTGGATACAGGCTCATTTGCAAAAAATGTGGAGAAGTTAATGGGAGGGATAGGAGAAGGCAGCTGGTGTCCAATTCCAGGTCTCTGTGCTTTCTTCCTTCTGGCAGGGAGGAAAATGCCTGTGATCCCACAATGCCTGTGATCCCACAAAAAAGTGGGTGTGGGAAGTGGGAGGAAGATAGTTGGGGAAGAGAGTATGTCCCATACTCAGAACCTGGACCGGACGTTCCACTAGCAGGCATGTTATCAGGAGTAATTATTATGAGATCGAAAGGAAACCCCAAGGCAACTAGCTAAATTCAGGCACTCGGGACCTTGTATAAAAGACAGAGAGGGATGTTGTTTTCCCATCTACACAACAGGCACAGGAGGGGAACCTACCACAAGGAGCTCCTAATTGGGAAGCTGCAGGGGGCTAACAAAGGACAGGGTGTCCATCTTCTTGCTGGTCTTCATAAGGAAGACATCAAAGTTCCTGGAGGTTCAATCAGGGCTCTGGGATGAGGTAGGGAGATGGAGGGGCTGACCTCCCGAGGTCCTTTGTAATCCAGTAATTAAATGGTGAATCGTTCACTTCCCCATTTATGCTCTGTACCCAGTTTGATAGTAAGTCCCCTGGGCTGCCTTCCAGGTTTACTACGGTGACACGCAAGCTGCTGGCGCTCAAGAAATGAATCAAATGTTTAAATAGCCCACATGACCTCCTCCCCGCCTGTAAAGTACGGCGATGAATGAAATCACAACATTCCAGGCACTATCACTTGAGCAGAGCCCGCAAGGAAACACACACACACACACACACACACACACACCACACACACACACACACACACACACACACACACACACACACACACAC